AGTCCATTATCAATGCTTTAAGACAGTAAAAATACTCTCAGTAACATTTTTGTTTGGAGAATTCTATTTTTTTTTAATATCTAAGTGGAAGGGGTAGACCCAAGGAAAACGGTTAATACAATCAGTTAGGAATCTCTAAGCGCCAAGATGGAATACTATCCGCGTCATCCTCCAGTAATTTCTTGATATCATCTGGTGGAGCTTCGAGTATATGGATACCTCTACGCATATTTCTGGTGGAGGCCGCTAGCGCATCTGCAATGTGATTCTGCTCACGGTAGATCAGAGACACTTTCCAGTCACCTGCTTTGCTTAGTTTTTTTTCACATGCTAACAGAAAGTTCTGAGCTGCAACGTCTTCTATGTTTATTCCATTGATGCCTGCTACGAGCTTTTTCGAGTCGCACTCGATATCCACACTGGTGAAACCTTTTGACGCCCCAAATTGTATCCCTTTTAGTAGGGCCCAGGCCTCCGCAATTAATGGTGAGCATTCGTCTCTTATAACACAACCTCCTCCAGCTTTTCCGGTACGTAGATCCACCGATCCATCGACATTTATTTTGAATCGCCCAGGCGTTGGTTTGTCCCATTTTAAGAGGCTCCAGCGAGGGGCTTGGCAACTGCTCCTATTGCTTCTGGAAGCTGAAAAGGCAGAGGTGACATCCGTGAGTTGGGTTCTAATCCAAGCCACCTTGTTCTCCAGGGAGAAAACTTTATTATTAAAAATAGCTTCGTTGCGCCATTTCCACAGCCACCAACAGGTCAGGGCGAAAAGAGTGCTGCTACTGGACGGGTTTCTGTTTGTCCCTCTAGTCATAATCCCAGCGTCGAACCATTCTTGGAATGTCCTGGAGATAGATTCCATATTAAAGGTGGGAGAAATTGCATTCCAGACTTCCTGCGCCCAGGGGCATTTTCTCAGTACATGCTCGGTGTCTTCAGTAATATCATTGCACAGCCAGCAATTATCATTGGTTGTAAATCCTCTTCTTAATCTCGCGCTGTTAGTCATGATCCTTTCGTGCTTGACTAGCCATAGGAAGAAACAGATGCGATTAGGTACCTTCAATTTCCAAATATTGGACCACTTAGCTGCTTGCAACGAGGGGACTTGATCAGACGCCATTTCATAGGCTGATTTTACTGAGAACTTCCCACTAGCTTCCTTAGCCCAGCCGATGAAGTCGCGTTGTGTTTGATTTTCGCAAATCATCACTGCCGCGATTTTACAGAGGATATTCTCTGGTAATAAATGCTCCAGTTTACTCCAGTCCCACCCCAATGTGGAGTCACAGTAAGATCTTACTAATTTAAATAACTCATCATTTGGAATCTGATCTAGAGCGAATTGGTGTAGCGGTCCGTCATCTGTCCATCTATCCAACCAAAATCTTGTTTGCTCTCCGTTTTTTCACTACGCACCTGACTCCCTTATCCAGTAGCGGTATAGCTTTGAGGATACCCTTCCAAGCGTTGGACATGTTCGTCTTGGCAAACCAATCCAAGAAGTGTGGGGAGGATGTTATGTACTTAGCTTTTAGGAGTTGTATCCAAAGGCTGTCCTCATTCTGTATTATTCTCCAAGCGAGTTTAGCCATAAATGCTGTATTCATCCAGTCCAAATTGCGAATGCCAAGACCTCTATTGGATTTGGATCTTGTCACCGTCTCCCAATTGATTAGGTGGCAGCTTCTCACTTCGTCAGAGCCTCCCCAGAGAAAGCTTCGAATTAATTTCTCTATGGAGGAAACTACTCCAGCCGGTAACAAAGTTGACTGCATCGTGTAAAAAGGGATCGAAGACAGTATAGATTTCGCTAAGACATATCTACCGGCCAATGATAATGTTCTCATCTTCCAACCTGCTAGTTTTGCTTGGATCCTTTCCAACATTCCCGCGAAGGATTCGTTCTTCAGTCTCCCATGAATTGAAGGGACACCAAGATACTTGCCCATGTCTGCAACCTTTGTTATGCCAGCTATATTTTCGATTTTCAGTTGGACCTCGATCGGGGTATTCTTCGAAAAGAAAATGGAAGACTTCTGTAGGTTCACCCTTTGGCCAGAGCTGCTACAGAATCTGTCCAGGCAGGCCTTCATCTCTGCGGCTTGAATTTCTGATGCCTCGCCTATTAGAACCATATCGTCTGCAAAAAATAAGTGCGAAATGTTAGGACTTTGGTTATTGGCTTTGAAGCCCTTCCATTTGCCTGAGGACACAGAGTTATGAATAAGATGACTAAGTCTCTCTATACATAAAACAAAAAGGAGGGGGGAAATGGGGTCTCCCTGTCTGATTCCGCGTTCCGGTTTAAACCACTCAGATTGATGCCCGTTCCAATTAGTTGCCAACCTTGACGTGGTCACACATGTTATAATATTTCTAACCCAGTGACTGTCCAGCCCGATATATGTAAGTGTGTCCTTGATGAAGCTCCATTTAAGCCTATCATAGGCATTTTCCAAGTTTATTTTAATCACCATCCATCCCAATGCACCCTTTTTACACCTCATCGAATTTAAGATCTCTTGGTAGACTAAGATATTATCCGTTATTTGACGCCCTAGCACAAAACTTGTCTGGTGGGGGCCGATAAATTTTCTGGATATATCCTTGAGTCTTGATGCCATAGCTTTGGTTAAGATCTTGTAGGATACGTTGCATAGCCCAATTGGGCGGAATTGCTTGACTGACTCCGGGGAGCTGACCTTGGGTATTAAGGTGATGACTGTGTCATTACAGGAGTCCGGGAGCTTGCCTTTTTCAAAGAATTCCAAAGCAAACTTGACTACAGTGTGTCCTACAATGTTCCACGTGTTTTGATAGAACGAAGCATTAAACCCGTCTGGACCCGGGGCCTTACATGGCTCCATATCGAATAGAGCCCCCTTGATCTCTTCGGCCGTAAAGGGCTTGTTAATCTCTGCCAGCTCTGGATCACTAAGAGTGGGGAATTGACCTCTTTGGAGGTCTTGTGTATGGGAGTTCAAATCTTCCGAATACAGCATCTTATAATAATCTCTCACATGATTTCTGATTAAGCTCTCATCTTCGATCCATCTTCCTGATTCATCCTTTAATTTGGTAAATTTTTCTGTGTTGTTCTTGGCCATAGTGGCTGTATGGTAAAAGCGGGTATTTCGGTCTCCCGAGTTGATCCAGTCCTCCCTTGAGCGTTGGTACCATAATAGTTCCTCTTGGTAGAGGGTGTTTTCCAACTCCTCGCGAGGCTTTCTCTCTAGTCTTAGCAAATTAGGGGTTGCCTTGGTGCACAGACAACGTTGCACTCCTTTTAACCTGGCCAGAATCCGATTCTTCCGCTGGAAAATATTACCAAACACACTCCTGTTCCAAGCTTGAAGAGCCTCCGCTATTGACTTTTTTTCTGATTCTAGCTCCCCTGTTGTATTCCATTTTTGATCTATAAACTCTTGGAACTTCGGATGAGTAGCCCAGGCAACATTGAACTTGAATCTTGAGTGCTGGTTTAGTTGGGGAGATGCAGAACTGCAGGTGTTTACTAACAAGGGAGAGTGGTCAGATGCGACCATCGGGAGATGCTGAACTTGGGCTTCGGGGAACATTAATCTCCATTCTATATTGGCTAAAGCTCTGTCTAAACGGGCACCCCTAAAGGTTGATGAGTTCACCCCTCTCATCCAAGTGAAAGGCGCACCCGTATAACCCAGATCGAGCAGTCCCTCTCTGAAGATCCACTCGGAAAAATCAGCGCATCTAGAATGGTTGAAAGAGACCGGGTTGCTGACTTCGTCATGACCTATCACAGAGTTGTAGTCCCCAACTGAGAGCCACGGTTCTTCAAATTGTGACATGACAAATCTGCAAATAATTTCCTCCTTAGTTGCAGGTTAGGGCTGCCGTAAACGAATGACAGAACCCACGGCTCCAGACCAGTTTCACTAACCTGCACAGCCAGGAATTGTGGATGAGTCTAGATAATATCTAGAGTTATATTGTTCTTCCAAAGGACCCAAATCCCCCCGGAAAATCCAATCGCCTCTATTCTAATCCATTCGGGGAAGCCAAAGCCAGCGCATATGCTATTTGCCTGGGCTCCCGACACCTTAGGTTCAAGAAGGCATACAATGGAAGGATTATGCATCCTAACAAAATGTTTGAGGGTACGGCGAAAGTCTTTCGAAGCCGCCCCTTGGCAATTCCAAATTAAGCTAATCATTAAGTAAACAACAAACGAAAAGAAAAACGCTCAGGAGCGTGAAAAAGGATACATGTGACGTCAATCGACCAAGGGCAGTGCTCAAGAGCGTAGCGCGGCACAAGATGCCTCATGACCTAGTACTGACCTATTGTCTGCTTGATTCACCAAATTCGAACGCCCCCGATGGAGGCGTCTCTGGGTTGTCATTAACTCTGTATACCATTGTACTCGCAACCCGCCCTCCCCGATTGGAGCCTCGAACAACCGTGTGTTCTGTCTCGGCCGCGGTCCTTCTTGGAGTCCCTCTTCGCGTGTTTCTGCCCCTTTGTGCTCTGTGCTGGGCAGGTTGGGGAGGTCTTGATTGGCTAGACACCAGTTCGGAATTTTGATCTGCACTGGGTGCGTGTGGCAGAGGGGCGTTACCATCACTCCGATGGATAGTTCTAATCCTTGGGAGGTTGTTCGTTGGGTTGTTCATTCTTGTATTAACTCCTTCGTATTCCGTGTGCCCTTGAGTATTGGGTTGCAAGCCTCTATTATCATCCAGACCCGCAAGGGTAGCAAAACGTGATGGTGAACCCAGACCTTGTTGTGCTACTGCCTTGCCTGAAGGCGTCTGTCTACCGGCTTCTTGGACAGGGATTGCTTTCCTTGGGCCTCTTCTTTCTCTTCTTGCAACTAGCATCCAGGGGCCGTAATTGGTCGACAAGTCTCGTTCTGGGCGAGGCGGCCGGTTCTCCGGTTGGTTCGGTGCCTTGTCCCCTTCCCCCAATTGGTTAGATTCAGAGCTGTGATCCTTATTGGCGCCGCACTAAGGCTATCTGTGGCCGTATAAGCCGCAAGAAAAGCATATCAAATGAATCCCTTCATATTCAATCGGCCAAACCTTCTCCTCAAGCGTGAACTTTGATAGCAGTGGTTTGGAGATATCAATTTCAACACATACCCTGGCAAACATGCCTTTTGAGATTAAGCTAGTAGTGAAGTCGACCCTAACCGGCCGCCCCACTCTTCTTGATATTTTCCTCACGAATTTCCCTTCGAAGTATTCAACAGGCAAAGTAGGGAACCTTACCCAAACCAGTAATTTCTTGGTTTTGTTGCACGAGGGGTCAAAATTAGGTTCCCATTCTTGAACAACCAGGTAGTGGTCCAGAATTACCCACGGCCCTTCATATTTGGCAAATTCGTAGTCCCTGAGCGATTCAAACTTAGCGATGAAGTAGTCCTGATCTAGCGCAATTAGCTCGAAGACAGACTCTGGTTTCCACATCCTTTGGAGTCTCTGTAGTAGGTAAAAATAGCTTACTTTCCGGCCAAGAACCTTACAGATTAGCGATTTACGCCAAGGTCTTCGAATTCTCTCCTTTTCCTCCTCCGTGATGGGTATTACCGGATTGCATGGGTCCAAGGCCTCCTCATCCATTGACTCCTCGTCTGAATCGACGTCCCTGTAAGCGGTGCTGTTGAAATCCTTCCGGCCCCAAGCTTGATTCGGGGTTGCATCTGGGGTCTTCCACTGGGCAGAGGCCGGTGACAAAAGTTCATTCTCCGCCGGAGTATCTTGGACTTGACTTACTGAACCGATTGGAGATGTAGTCCCCAGCTCCGATCTTCTTCTTTTTGTTTTCTTCGAACTTCTTTCGGGCAATTCTTGGTTGGACGGCGACTGAGGGGTCGCCGTCGGCATAACGGGTTCTGAGATATTCTCAGAGGAAATTTCCATTCGTCATCATATGACACTATTATATTGATTTCTTGTTTTTCTTTCTCAGCATATTTGATTGTGATTATTATTTTCTGTTTTTGTCACCCAATAACTAATTGAACTACCCGTACTGCCGTGCAAGTATTATTTCCCATTCTTTCCTTCTAACTATTCTCCCAATTGTTCATACAGAACTCTCGTTAAGGCATATTTGGAGAATTCTATTTGCACCACCCTAATTGCTATCTACACCACCTATTTAATATGTGTGATAGTTTTATAGGTGATGTAAATAGAAAATTGTTATTTACACTATTTTCATTAATTGTAGTCAAATATGATTTTTTTTAACAAATATTTATTATAAATGACACTTTCCCCCTTAGGTATATGCTTTTAGCATTTTTTCCCTCTTAGTTATTCATGTATCCATATTTGCCTCCTCAGTTATATTAAAAGTGACATGTTTTCCTCCTTTTATGTTTGATAGACATTTTTACCTTTAAAAACTAAATATTTCATTTATTTTTTCTTCTCCAACAAATTATTGTTTATATGTACGGGTGATCACGGTTCAGTTCAAACAATTTTTTTTATTTTATTGCCAAGTTCAAAATTTATTTATTTATTATAAATTTTATTTCTTATTTTTTTAAAAAAATATATAAATTTAATAATTATTTTATTGTATTTTATTTTTTCGGCTTCTGAATCGTAAGCAAAGCCAAAAGGAGTTTGTTTTAATTTGCAATCACACGTGTTATATATTACTTTTCCAAACTTCATTTCAGTTAAAAAAAGGGAAAAAACATTGATTTCTTAGGCTTTCGCATTCATATTGAAGTTGACAATCCATTACGTTCCAATGGTATTTTGGAGTGTGATTTTATATCAAAGATTATATTTGATTTCTCTCTTTTTTAGGGATGCACACCTTCATTAGAGGACATATATTATATATACTAGTAATTTTCAATTGCTTTGATTTAAATCAATTGGTCTTTATATGATTATTATAAATAACTAGTAATTCACCCGCGCGATGCACGGAAAAAAATTATGTTATTATAAATATAAATAAAAAATAAAAAAATTAAAATATTTTAAATTATTTAATATAATAATATTTTTGAGCTTGGGGTCAAGTATTTATTATTTTTATAGAATACAAAATTACAATTAAAATTAAAATTATAATTATAATTATAATTATGTATGGTTAATATAATCTCTAATTATGTGCATATTCAAATAAAGTTATAGAGATAATTTACATAATTACATTGATTTATTCTTAATTGTATTTCATCTATATTATAATTTTCACAATACAAATAATAACTAAGATAATTACATTTGGAAAGCAAATTTTAAATTTTGTATGTGTAAATTTAAACTCTAATTGAACACATTTTTATATGATTATATAATATATAGCTATTTTATTTTTCAAAAGTATATTTTTATATGATTATATAATATATAGCTATTTTATTTTTTAAATGTTGTGTTTTTTTTTTTTTAATAATAAAGGATGTTGTGGTATTAATTGTAACATTAATTATTTCCCAAACCATATAGCTTTATTATATAATAAAATATAATAAAGGATAAAGGATATAATATATTGCTATTTTATTTTTCAAAAGTATATTTTTTATATGATTATATAATATATAGCTATTTTATTTTGTATGGTTAATATAATCTCTAATTATGTGCATATTCAAATAAACTTATAGAGATAATTTACATAATTACATTGATTTATTCTTAATTTTATTTTATTTATATTATAATTTTCACAATACAAATAATAACTAAGATAATTACATTTGGAAAGCAAATTTTAAATTTTGTATGTGTAAATTTAAACTCTAATTGAACACATTTTTTATATGATTATATAATATATAGCTATTTTATTTTTCAAAAGTATATTTTTATATGATTATATAATATATAGCTATTTTATTTTTTAAATGTTATTTTTTTTATAATAAAGGATGTTGTGGCATTAATTGTAACATTAATTATTTCCCAAACCATATAGCTTTATTATATAAAGGATTGTTATTGTTATTATAACTAGTATTTCCCGTGCGATGCACGGAATGAATTTGTTGTAATATATTAAGAATATATGAATCGATATATAATTATTTAAATTAGAATATCAAATATTATATAGTGCAATTAAAGATAGGGTTTGGATCGTTTATATATTTTGATGTTATCATTGCTTGAATTTGTGTAAATAATTGGTCAAATTAATAGCTAATGTCTAGATATACGCATACGGTGCTATAACTTTGAAGATTTTATTTATATTTAGAATTTTCATAAATTAGGCAAATGTGCTCGTTCTCTAACAACTCAGTTATAGAAATGAATTGATATCCTTATTCATTTGATTGGAATATATATTTTTTTGTCTAGATATATAACAATTTTTTCATTTAAAAAAAAAACTTAATATCACCGATTATATTTACACATTATTGAAACCTCTTTGTAGACGACATTGGTATTGACAACACAATCTTGTTCATCTTCGTCTAGAGCTAACACCTTCAATCCATCAGGACCGATTACTTGGATTAAAATATATAATGGTAGAATATTACTCAATTAGTTATCCTTTTATATTTTCAGTCAATTAGTGATATCAGATTCATTTTCAGACAATTATTTTTTTTTTATTTTCAGTCAATTAATCAATTAGAATATCAAATGCAGTGATAATTTTACCTAATTTTTCGTTCAATTTTTAATTGATGATTTAGATATTATTATTGAAATATTTCTGTTCCATTTTTAATTTACCTTTACTATTGTTTAAAATAAGCATTTACTATTGATAATGTAGAATATTATTATTGAAATATTTTTCTCTAATTTTTAATTTTCATTCAATTTTTAATTAAAATGCAATGATCTAACCATTTTTTTAGTCAATTATGGAGCATTTTTTTTTTACAGTCAATTATTAATATTCATTTCTTTTTATATTTTTAGTCAATTAGTAATATTAGATTCATTTTCAGTCAATTTTTTTTTTATTTTCAGTCAATTATAATATAGATGTATTGATATTTTTACATAATTTCTGTTACATTTTAATTTGATGATGTAGAATATTTTTAATGAAATATTTTTGTTCCATTTTCAATTTACATTTACTATTTTTTAAAATATGTCTTTACTACTTGATGATGTAAAATATTATTATTGAAATATTTTCTTTCTATTCTTAATTTTCCTTTACTTCTAAACAAAAAGAAAAAAAAAAAACTTTGGACTTCTCACTACTTGCCCACATTGATGGGCAAGCAATTATGTTTGTAAACATTTTCAAGAGCTCATCTTTCTAAACATTTTCAATGTGAGATTAAAATGATCCCACATCATTCTTCTTATTTTTTTCTAATTTTAATTTTATTTTGTATATTGTTTTGTTTGGATGATGATGATGATGATGATGATTATGATGATGATGATGATGATTATTATTATTATTATTATTATTATTATTATTATTATTATTATTATTATTATTATTATTATTATTATTGACGATTTTAAAAAAAATTAAGATTGACAAATTCACCAAAATTTTAACAAATTCGTCATTTTAACAATTTATCTTTAATCGAAACACCAAAAATATTATTTAATAACTCAGTAATTTGCTCTAAACTGCTAATAAATAAAACAACACATACATTTTGGGTTAATCTTTCCCAACCCACTAATAATAAATAATGAATAAATAAATAAAAACTAAAATAAGAAGACAAAACTAAGGTTTCTTAAATAAGAACCTTTTAACTTTTCAATACTTACAACATTAATGGACAAACAATTATGTTTGTACCTCTTATATAGAGGAGTTCAAAAGCTCATCTTTTCAAACATTTTCAATGTGGGATCAAAATAATCTCATATCATTTACAAAGAGAGTCCGTGGCTCCCTTTTGTCTTCTTTTTTTTTTTAAAAAAAAATTTAATTTTATTTTGTATATAGTTTTATTTGGATTATTATTATTATTATTATTATTATTGTTGTTGTTGTTGTTGTTGTTGTTGTTGTTGTTGTAATTTGATTATTTGGCAAATTCGACAAAATTTTAACAAATTCGCATGTTTAACATTTTATATTTAATCAAAACATCAAAAATATTATTTAATAACTTAGCAATTTGCTCCAAACTGCTAAAAACTAAAATAATACATATACATTTTGAGTTAATCTTTCCCAAACCCCCTAATAAATTAAAAAATATTTATAAAAAAAAAAACTAAAATAAGAAGCCACTAAGATAAGGTTTATTAAATAAGAGTCTTTTGACTCGTTGGACTTCAATAGGTTGAGAAAATTTATACGAATAGATATTATATGTAACATGGTCAATCGAATAGTTATGTTGTAGAACCGTGTCCACCTTGCAAGGTGGACACAATTCTATGTTAATAATTATTGAACTATATGTTCATAATTATAAAACTATATATTCATAATTATTGAACTCTATATTCACAATTACAAAACTATATGTTCATAATTACTTAATTATATGTTCATAATTATAAAGTTATATATTCATAATTTTTGAACTTCATATTCACAATTATTGAATCTCTATATTCATAATTACATAACTATATGTTCATAATTATGTTCACAACACTGTGTTCATAATTATAGAACTATATATTCATAATTATGAACAATTTTGGAACCGTGTCTATCATGCAAGGTGGACACAGTTTCACAGCATAATTTGTCGGGTTAATAGTACTCAAAAATAAAATAGGAGCATTTGGACTTCTCAATACTTGCCCACATTGATGGTCAAACAATTATGTTTGTAAGAGGGGCATTGCTCCTCTTATATAGAGGAGCTCAAGAGCTCCTCTTTCCAAACATTTTCAATGTGGATCAAAATTATCTAGCATCATTTACAAAAGGAGCCCGTGGCTCCATTTTGTCTTTTTCTTATTATTTTTAATTTTAA